TTCGTTTCTGCTTCTAGCAACTTAGAATTCCCTGGGGGGAAGCAGGGAGCCCCACCTCACCCCACCTGAGCATGAGCAGGGCACCCCTGTTTAGATTCAAGGTTCCATCAAACCATCAGGAATGCTCAGGCCTTGCCCAGTCCCATGGGGAGCAGAGGCTCCTCTGCCCTGATCTTGCCAGCTTTCCTGCAGCAGAGATGGGCCCCAAAGGGGAAATCCGAAAGTGGCTGCCTGGACCCGCAGGACTCCAGGCTACTGTGCTTGTCTGCCAGGTGCAATGGGCCTTAGGAAATGGCCTTGTTCGGGGCTTCTGGGAAGCTGCTTTCTTGCCTGAGCCTGTGTAAAGCCACTTGGCCTGCATTTCAGAGCCCCTGCCATCCTTAGCATCCAGCCCAAAGAGGACAGACTTGTACCTGCAACATCACCTAAGATCTACTCTCTGTGCTCCGCAAGCAGAGCGAATGCCCATCTTTGCTGATGTATGGCAGGACAGTAAGAAGCCAAGGGTTTGTGTTCATGCAAATCAATCCTGGAAAAGCTCTGGGAAGGATGAGGAATGCACTCATTTGCATTTTCCATGCCTAGACAGCTCAGGAACAAATATCTAGAGGCACACTTACATAGATAAACAATGAATGTGGCCATGGCCCCCGTGATCTGCTGGGTGAGCAGGCTGGATTCCAGCGAGCTGTCTCCACCTACCAGGGCCATCTGCCACCAACTGTCCAGCAGCCAGCAAGGCACAAATTACACCCCCAAGGACTTCTAAAAGGTGCCAACGTCATGGGGAATAAAGGCATGGAAAGAACATCCCTGGCTGGACACTGAACAATGCCTGTCTACCTTTATTATAAAAATCAGATGAGCAAAGACTTCTGATGACATCAAAGAAGTTTTGGGAAGACCACAAGAAAGCTACGAAGCAGACATTGGAGGCACAGAATTCAGCAGAGCCGGAAACGTGATTTCCAAGGTCCTCAGAAGATATTTTCCAAAGGCAATGTAAGGATAGTAAATAACAGCCAATCAATAACTAATTTCAACCATGCTGTAGTGATCTGTAAGTAATCTCCCTGTGGCCATGAACAGTCATTGTCAGGAAAAAGAAAATCTTGCAAACCTCCTGCTCAGGGCCGTCTACTAGACAGTGCCACTATGAGCCCATCGATGAGGCTGCAAAGGGCAGGCCACTGCATGAGCCCTGTAACTTTGGGGCAGCGAGCTGAGGATCCCAGAGAGCCTGCTGCATTTTGCTGCATCCTCTCTGCCACTTGACAGGTCTTTTGCTATCCCCACCCCCAAGCCCCAGAAATAAGTCACCTTAGGAAAAGCAAGAGCAGAGGCAGAAGAAGGGGCCAGAAGCTGGTCTGCAAAGCAACAGCGTCAATCATCCCAACAGTTCACACATCCGCTCAGTTCACCCCACAGGCCACTTCCTGTCCACCGGTGAGCAGATAGGAACAGCAGGCCGGATGTGACAGCTATCTTAACACCTTGGGCATGAAGTAAAACTTGCTTATCTCCATGAAAATGTACAAAGTATAGGAAAAGGATTTTGCTCCATTTTTCCCCCGTTAGTAAATGCAACAAGGCAGGAATCCCAACACCACTAGTACTTGTACTTGTGCAGGCGCGAACATCCAGCAGACACCTCCTTAGACACAACACCAATAGTGGACCAACGGCAGCAGGCACGCTTCCCACTGGCTCTAAGTATTTCCTGTTGCACACAGCCGCATCTATCTGAATGGGGTACAACAGAACTTAACTGTTTTATTAGACACACAGCAAAACAAATGATGGAATCCGATATTAGTCATTCATCAGATCAAACATGTTCGGAAAAACACAAAGCTCTATTTCTCCCTCGGAGAACAAGCAGTGTCGGAGCCACATTTTCCCAGAGATATCACGCCACGGAAAACAGCTTAGGCAATGTAACTTTAAACAAATCCCTTCTCTGGCTACCAACAAGACCACTGGGAGCAAATGCTTAGCTCTGGCCATTCCAAGCCTCCTCCTGTCCACCTGTCAAAGGTAATCATGACCCCAGCGACCTGAGCTGCAAAATGCGCCACCTTGCACGGATGCCCTCGGCGCTGCTTGCCAGCCTCCTCTTCAGGGATTATCCGAGTCGCCTGCAGCAGGGCGAGAGGAGATGGGCTGGCCGCCAAGTGTTCTTTCAACACAGATTCCGAAAGAAGATCCTTCGGAGTGCCGAAAGCCCAGATTTTCAGCGCTGCACTTCCCAGCTTCTGTTACATAGCAACCGTGCCTGCGCACCGAGGCACCAACCAAGTTAATATTTTGTTGAAATGACACACTCGGTTAACCCTCTAGGAAAACCCAAGTCTTCATCACCCAACCACCTGCCTCCCATCGGTTGTCATTCCCGGGCCAACATATCTGTAGACACACTGGTGAGCTTGCTCAGTTCATTTTTTTTTTTTAAAGACTCTTTTGAACCAAAAAAGCAGAGCTGAAAAAAATAAATGTAACAACCTCTCAGTAGGGGGAAGCCAAAGGCAGCTCTCTCCCCAGGATGATTTGTGCTAATAATGTCAAAGTTGCCATTAGCGCATTTAATATGTGCATAATGCCCATTGGTTAAAAGGGGACCTGGGCAGGTGCATTGTGGAGATGCTCATTGGAGTCAAAACTGAGGTGTGAAGAAGTACAGGGGGAGTCTGGGCTCACAGGGAGCACATGCCCACAGCCCACATGCAAACACAAGACGCAGGGCAGGAGTCAGGAAGCCTGGGGGTTCCAGGGCTCCTATGCCTCCCTGCAGGCACAGTGCGAGAAGAGCAGCCAGCTCGGAAGGGAACCCAGCACTATGCTCAAAAAAAAAAAAAGAGGACCAGACCACCTCAGCACAAGGTTGCTGTTTGAGCAGATCACTCAAGCTCGAGATGCCGGAGGAACCAACACCACGGCCGGGAGAAGAGCGGAGCTTATAGGCGGCAAATCATATAAACACTGCCGGGCAAGGAACTGTTGCTACAGACAAGTCAGCAGTGCCCACTGGAATTCGTGGGGGGCAGTGCTCTCCCCTCAACCATCACATCGCTGGAAATTCACATCAATTAGCCGGATGTGTGGGCAATAATTAGGTTTAGTTTAAACCTCTTATGTTTGATTGAATGTAAAGTCACCAAGTACCTCTAGTAATGGTTTTGTGAAATACTAACAGTACGCAGAGGGGCAGTCTGCCACCCACCGCCAGCCACTGACACTGGGTCCCCTCGACAAAATCACCAGGTTTGTGGGCTTCCAAGGAAATCACCAAGTCCAGGAGCGCTTTGCTCGTCGTGGCTTTAGGCTCCACTGCAGTGGCGGCACCAGGCTCTCCAAGTTGAGTTGTCCCTGCTCTCACTTCCCCAGCGCCTTCAGTCTGCGGCTGATTCCAGCTCCGAGAGAAGGAAAGGTGCAGGCAGGTGGGAAATAAACGAGCATTGTTCAGAGTTCCCTGCCTGGCTCCCCATTCTCTGAGCTGCTTCTCCCATGTCGCAGGAGTCGTGGCCGCCTGTGCAAAGCACCGCATTGCCAAGCGCTGTGCCTTTGCCTCTCTGCACCCAGGTGTCTGGCCCGGATTGTTCTCCCATACACCGTGACATAGCTGGGGATACACAATAAGTACACGCGGAGGCCAACCTGGAGAACTGTGCAGCAAACACCAGGGCCGCCACACCTCTCCACCATGACGTCATGGCTACCTCTGGACCGAGTCACTTCTCTCACGCCTCAACTCCAGAGAGACTCCTCAAGTACCGGAGCGCACACCTGACGCGGAATCTGACACAAAGACGCACAAGTTCAGCGTTCATGCCTCGCATCCGGAAAGCACGCCTTTCCTGGGAAGGCAGGGGACCAGCACACAGCAAGCATCGGTGGGCACACAGACGCTCTCCCAACACTTGGGAGATGTCACGGAAAACACAGCATCATTCCCAGCCGTCGCAGGGCCACCGGTAGTGGGACCTGGGCAGGTGACACATTCACATGAGGGTCCCTAGTGCAAAGGAACTGTTTTTCTGTCCTGTTCTGCACTCTAGCAGTTGAAGAATTGAAGGGACTGGAATAACCAGTGACTCGGTGGCCAAAATAAGATATTTAAAGCCTGCTCAACCCTCCTGACTTTCCAATGCACACAAACCAGGGGGAGCGGCTCACCCACCTTTAGCCCTCACAGGGCGTCTCATGGCATCCTCTGGGTCAGTGTCAATACAGACTCACACCCTCCCGCCATCAGCCCAGACTCCCTCCAAACGGCGCTGCCTGCAACAATCCACCATGCCTGCCCCTCACATTCAGATTTCTCCCTGCAGAGCGCTCCAGCTCCGGCATTTGCTGGAAATCGCAACTCCCTGCTGAGCAGAACACCTATTGTAGCCCCCACGATCCCATCAGCAGCGCGAGCTCAAAGAAGAGAGAGAGAGAGGAAAAAAAAAAAAAAATAGAGTCCAGATGCAAGGCAGACAAGGGCTTTAGCTTGCACGGAGGAAAGCGCACGCCAGTCCCATCTTCCGCCCGCAAGCGCGGCAGCCCAGAGCTCTCCCGGGGACAGAAGTCCTACCCCAGAAAGCAGCCTTAAGGACTGGGAAGGAAAGATGGTCATCCGCCCTGCCAGGGGCTGGGGGCAACCGCCCTGGCACGAAAAGTTTGCCACGGAGCTGGGGGCGGCGTACTGGCGACTGGGCAATTTCTGCAGCCGGGAGAGACACGCCTGCCGCGCCGCGCCGCGCCGCGCCCACACCGGCCGGGGGGCCTGGGGTCCGCGCGGCCCCGCGCATCCTGCGCCCCTGGTTTTCGGTCCTGACAGCAGCATGCGATTCCCGGCCCGGACGCAGCGGTGGCCATGGCCGCACGGAAAGGTTTACAGGCCTCGGTGCACACACAGCGCCGTCGCCCCGGGCGCACAGGGGCACCGGTTCCCGGCCGGCTCCGGGCCAGGCGCGCGCGCTCGCCCCGCCAGGGCCCCGGCGCCGGGCGCTCCCTACCTTGTGCGCCGAGCTGCTGGTTCTCCATGCTCGCTGCCGCCGAGTCCGCCGCCGCCGCCGAGGCGCTGCCCGCGGCCCCAGGGCCCGCGCCGGGGCCGCCGCTCAGTTCCGCCAGTCTCCGGTTGGTGGCCGTGAGTTCGGCTCGCAGGTTGGTCACCTCCTGGCTGGCCGACTGGACCGCCCCATCGATGCGGAGCGCGAGCTGCTTATTGTCTTCCATCATGCTCAGGATTTTGGCCTGGGGGCGAGAGAGGTGACAAAGAGCTGCATGATGCGTGTGGGGGTGCGCTGCCGGACACCCCGGGCTCTACCTGTTGGGTTCCCCGCGGCCCGGCTCGCCTGCGCCCCGACCCCCAGGCACAGGCAGCGCCGGCTCCTCCGCCGTAGGAATGACAGCGGCGCCTCCAGCCCGAGCCGCGGCGGTGGCGAGGCGGCGGGGGGAGGAGGAGGAGGAGGAGGAGAAAAAGGAGGAGGAGGAGCAGCGATCGCCGAGACCCCGGCGGGCAGGCGGGCGCCGAGTGTGGCTCGCAGAAGGACACCGCGCGCTGCCGGGCACTCTCTGAATGGAGCCTACCATTTGCCGCCCGCCTGGGAGGGGGCCTGAGCGGGGGTCCAGGGGTCCTCGCGGACCTTGGGGTTCCCCACGGAGGAGACACACCCCCTGGAGGCGGGGGCGCCGAGCGGCGCCGGCCGGTGGGCGGAGGGGACGTCCCTGGCGTGGGATGGGGGGCGCCCGGGAGCCTTGGCCAGCCCTCGATCCCCTCCCTGGAAGGATGGGGCCGCCCCTCTCCGGCCAACTAGTGCCCGGCGCCGAGCTGGGGTTGCGGAGGCGGTGGGTGCTAGGGAGGGGGCCCAGGAGGGGAGCTGGACAGAGCGCCCAGCGCGGGACCCCCTCCCCCCAGCCCTTGGGGCCGGGGGCTGCTGGCAGGAGTTACGGAGCAAAGCTGCCTGGAACTGTCGGCAGGCGATGTCCAGCGGGGAGCCGCTGCCCCAAACCCTACCCCTGACAAGGCAGCTCAAGCTACCACCCCCTCCACAGGGCCCCCCAGCCTCGTGTGTGCACCCCAAGCGGAGGCACAGCCTCAGCAGTGTCCTTGGGGAGCCGACTGGAAGGCATCTGAGCGACTTCCTTCTCTCCTCTCAGCAGAAGAGAGGGGAGCGGGGCCGGGTGGGTCTGCTTCCTCAGTTTCCCCATTGCTCCTCCGGAGGAGCTGGGCTAAGCTTGCTGTTACTGCTGGCTCCACCTTTGCCCCAAAGCTCCAGGCTTTCCATTTTCCGATGGGGCCCTGGATTCCAGCCACCAGACCTTGTTACCATAGCGAACTTCATTCCATGCAAATAGGACAATGTAAAACAGCCAGTGCACCGTGCGGGGACAACAGGGCACCAGCATTCCAGCTCAGTCACCTCTGGGATGCCAAAGACAGGGGGAGGGGCGTCCCTGCAGGGCTGAGGGGTTGCCCACTCTCCAGGTGGGAAGAACCAAGCCAGAAAGGGCTTGCTAAAGGGCTGCTCTTAGTCCCTGCTCTCCTTAAAGAAAGGAGCCTGGGCCCCAACGCAGTGGCCTAACGGATACAGTCCTCGCCTTGAAGCCTTGAACGTGCCAGGATCCCATATGGGCGCCAGTTCTAATCCCAGCAGCTCCACTTCCCATCCAGCTCCCTGCTTGGGGCGTGGGAAAACAGCAGAGGACGGTCCAAAGTCTTGGGACCCTGCACCCGCGTGGGAGACCTGGAGGAGGTTCCTGGCTCCTGGCTTCGGACCGGTGGGGCCACTGTAGTCACTTGGGGAGTGACTACAGAAAATTAGACAGACGGAAAATCTTCCTCTCTGTCTCTCCTCTTCATTGTATATCTGACTTTGCAATAAAAATAAATAAATCTTTAGGAAAAAAAAGTAAGGATCCTTTGTTCCCGTTTTACAAACGAGGCCCAGGGTGTGATCAAGCCAGGGGCCCACGAGACCAGGCAGAGCCAGGACTAAAAGCCACATTAGTCCCAATGATGGGATGGTGGGTTTCCCTTTTGTGCCAAATTTTAGACTCCCACTCTGGGCCCGTCCCCTGGGGCACTGACAAGCCTTTCAAGAAGCCAGGAAAGTGCTAGATGGTGGAGCAGGGGGCAGTGGGCACACTGTCCACCTTGCTCAGGCTGTCGAAGATGGACCCTTGACCATAGCCCGGGCAGCACAAAGCGTGGCCAGCAGGACCATCCGCAGCACTTGAATGGCCTGGGGAGTCTGTAACTTAGGATTCAGCTCTCGGAGGTTACACACGAACATCAAGACCGTGGAACTCTGTGGAACTTCAGAAAGGGGTGTCGGGCTGGCGCTGCGGCTCAACTGGCTCATCCTTGGACCTCAAGTGCCTGTACCCCTGTGGATGTCAGTTCAGGTCCTGGCTGCTCCACTTCTGATCCAGCTCCCTGCTTGTGGCCAGCGAAAGCAGTGGAGGACGGCCTAAGTCCTTGGGACGCTGCACCCACGTCGGAGACCCAGAAGAAGCTCCTGGCTTCCGATCAGCTCAGCTTTGGCAGTTGTGGCCCCTTGGGGAGTAAACCAGCAGATGGAAAATCTTTTCCTTTCCATCTTTTCTCTGTAAATCAGCCTTTCAAATAAAAATAAATAAAGTTTAGGGGGGAAATGAATAAAAGGGTGTATGGAGTGCAACCACTGTGGGAAACAGTTTGGTAGTTTCTGGGAAAGCCAACGGGGCAAGTGTCAGACCCGGCGGTTAAGACACCCCTTGGGACACTTGTGTCCTTTACCGGTGCTGGCTCTACCGTAGCTGGTGGTGGCTCAAGTGAGTGTGGGGGTGCGACCCCCATGGGAGCCCCATATTGAGTTTCTGGCTTCTGGTTTCAGCTGGGCCCACTTCCTAACGCCGGTGTTTGGGGAGAGAAGCAGCAGTTGGAGCTCTGTGTCTATCTTCCAAAATTTGACAAGGAGAGTTAAGCATAGAGGTATCTCAGGCCCCAGCAAGTCCACTCGGAGTTGCATGTTAAGACAGTCTTGACACAAGTATTCACCAAGAGATGGGGGGTAAGCAAGCTGAGGGATACCACGTCTCAAGCATTTATTCTCCAGCCGGAAGAAGTGATGGCATGGGGGAAGCGTGGAGGCAGGAAAGCTAACCTAAGAGCTCATGGACTCTGTGGGTCTGTCCACATGCATAGCTGCAATTGAGACAACTGCTTACTAGGTTATTTTTGGGTCGGGACATTTCGGAACCGGATGGAGGTAATGAATGCTCGGTGTCACCAATGCACTAAATGCAATCAAATTGTTCACATCACAGGGATCCATTTTTAGACTCTAAATTTTACCTTCAAAAAAGTCAGTTATGGGGAGTCTCCAAAATTTTTGTGAAAGGTGCTGGCTTTGTAATTCAGCAGGTTAGGCGTCCACTTGCGACACCAAATCCCACAGGAACACAGGTTTGAGTCCCAGCTGCTCCATTTCTCATCCAGCTCCCTGCTAATGCCCCTGGGAAAGAAGCAGAGGATGGACCCATTGCTCCGACTCTTGCCAACCAAGTTGAAGATCCGGGAAGAATTCCAGGCGCCTAGCTCCTGCCTGGCCCAGACCCAGCTTTGGTAAACATTTGGCTGGGAGTCCTCTCCTCCTATGCTCTGTAACTCTGCCGTTTAAATACATAAAAATCTGGAGCCTGGCGTGGGAGCCTAGTAGCTGAAGTCCTTGCCTTGCACATTCCAGGATCCCGTATGGGCCTGTCTGTCTCTCTTCTCTTTTAGCTCCCTGCTTGTGGCCTGGAAGAGCAGCAGAAGACAGTCCAAAGCCTTGGGACCCTGCACATGGGAGAACTGGAAGAAGCGGCTGGCTCCTGGCTTTGGATCAGCTCAGTTCTGGCTGTTGCAACCGCTTGGGGAGTGAACCAGCAGTCAGAAGATCTCTCTCTGTCTCTCCTTCTCTTTGTAAACATGACTTTCCAATAAAAATAAAGAAATCTTAAAAAAAAAAGAAATACATAAAATTTTTTCAAGGAGAGTCTGTGAAAGTAGGTATTATGAAAAGAAAAAAACTAGGCATGGATTTTGACACTTTTTGTACCAAAATAAACACAATTCCAATTCCATGAACTTTTGGAATATGCACACATACCAGGAAAAAAAAAATGGGGGCTGAGGTGCATTCTGGGAACAAAGTGGGCAGGGCGCACAGGAGCAGAGCGTCTGCAACCTCCTGCAACTACACTCCCCACCACTGCGAGTGGCAGGTCCTGGCTGTCTCCCTGGTGACCAGGCTGGGAGTGGCCAGGGTCCTGAACGGGGTCGCCTCCCATCCTGCCGGCTCGCCCGTAGTAAGCGCACGGATCCAGAATGTGTGAGCACACCTGTGTGTTACTCCTTTTTCTCCCCACACATTCATGTCTCAAAATGAAAGCGAAACAGCTCAGAGGAGAAGGGCAAGGAAAGGCTCATTCATTCTTAAGCCCCTTTCATGACAAATGATTCTCTTTTTGACTTCAAGAAACGTGGTTCAGAAGCGTCTGAGGTGCCTCCCAGGAGCTTAAGAGTTTCACTCTTTGAGGTTTTTTTTTCTCTTTCCACCTTTCATATAGAAAAGGGGCAGGGGCCCAGCGCGATAGCCTAGTGGTTAAAGTCGTGGTCTTGAGCACACTGGGATTCCATGTGGGTGCCAGTTCTAATCCCAGCGGCCCTGCTTCCCATCTAGCTCCCTGCCTGTGGCCTGGGAAAGCAGTCGAGGATGGCCCAAGGCTTTGGAACCCTGCACCCACATGGGAGGCCCGGAAAAACCTCCTGGCTCTTGGCTTCAGGTTGGCTCAGCTCCAGCCGTTGCGCCCACTTGGGGAGTGAACCATCGGATGGACGATCTTCCTCTCTGTCTCTCCTCCTCTCTGTATATCAGCCTTTCCAATGAAAATAAGTAACTCTTTAAAGAAAAAAAAAGAAGGAAAGGAGGAAAAGGGGCATTTCCCTAGCTGGGTCTTTAGGTGCAAGGATCAGATCTCAAACACAGGAACTGCTGTTAGTCACTTACCAAGATGAACTTGAGTCAATCCAAAAGGCTGCTGGTCTACCTTTCTGACTTTCCCCAGCTTCTGCCAGAGTTCTTCCTAGGTGGTCTCAGATAACAAAGCAGCCAAGGATTCTGCGTCCTCTTCCCCTGCCCCCGCCTGACTCAGGCCCGGTTGTGGTTTGGGTTCAGGGCAGGGGGAGCTAGTATGCACTGACCACTCATTTCTTGGTAGGCGCCTGGTGGGAGTGAGCTTCCGGGGCCGCCTCTCAGCCCTTGTCCTCTCAGTCTACAGCTGTGAGATTGTTCACTGTGGGCTTGCCCTCAGAGTCCTCCCCTCGGCAGCCCCAGTAGCCTGCTACCTCCTACCGTAGCAGGCCACTGTCAGGAGCAGCTGCGGTTGGAATGTGTCTCTTGTTCCCTGGACCTGACACGTGCTGATGGTATCTGGAGCTGGGGGACTTGGGGAGGATTTAAAGAGGCTCCGTTGAAGTCAGGAGGGCGGAGCCCCTGTGGTGGTGCGGGTGGCTTTAGGAGAA